TAAAACCTGACAAGTGGGCAAATCTAAGCTTGTTTTTAAAAAAACTAATATAAATATGCATATAATAAATAATACTGCTAATAATAATAACATTATACAAAAGCAAATTGTCATGAATAAACTGAAAAAAGCCCCCTGAGATGAAGAAGGCATGAAAGTATGATTTTAACACGCCTCCTTTTTCAGACCAGAATGCCTATGGACGCACACATGAGCACAAATGCATTTGCTATTTAAACAGCATGGTGCAAAACATTAAAACGACTCTTGCGCCGAGCTGAAACTAGCAAACAGCAATTACGTCGCGCCAACGACATACACAGATGAGTGAGCTCACAAAATCAGTACGAGTACTTAGGATTTCATTTGTACTTTAATGCATCACCCAATGCTAACATCAGACATCCCTCAGACAAACAGGACAGATGTGCATCAGTGTGTCTCCAGCTGAATTAAGTGGTGTGTAATGTTATTTACCTGTGCTTGTGTCTCAGCCTCCTCCATCCTGAAGCGGGAGAAGCGCATGAGGACGCGGCGGGTGCACTTCGAGAAGGTGACGGTGTATTACTTCAGCCGGCGGCAGGGCTTCACCAGCGTGCCCAGTCAGGGTGGCAGCACTCTGGGCATGTCCAACAGACACAGCTGCATCCGGCAGTACACACTGGGAGAGTTCGCCATGGAGCAGGAGAGGATCCACAGAGACATGCTGAGAGACCACCTGAAGGAGGAGAAGCTCAACTCCATACGCCTGCGGGTCAGTAAATATGTATATATTATTAAAAAAGCTAGAACGCTGTAATCATTGGCTTCCATTAGCTTTTCCAACTATTCTAGTCAATGGCTTCCAGTTTCTAGTTCAAAGTGTGCTTCAGCTAAACACAAACTTACCTGGGTCAAAGTGTTGTGAATTGTTTTGAAGTGTTCTGGTTTTCAGTTGACGAAGAACGGCTCAGTGGAGTCTGAGGAGGCGAATGCTCTGACGCTGGACGACGTCTCTGATGATGACCTTGACATTGATAACACAGAGGTGGACGAGTACTTCTTCCTCCAGCCACTGACCACTAAGAAGCGACGTGCTCTGCTGCGCTCGTCCGGAGTCAAGAAGATCGATGTGGAGGAGAAACACGAGCTGCGGGCCATCAGGGTGTCCAGAGAAGACTGTGGCTGTGACTGTAGACTCTTCTGTGACCCAGAAACCTGCACATGCAGCCTAGCCGGCATCAAGTGTCAGGTGAGAGGACAAGAGTACACACACACACACTCACAGGTGAAGTCTGAATTATTAGTCCTCCTGAATTATTATAATCCTCCTATTATTATTAATAAAAGATTCTCAAAAGTTACTCTGGTAAAATAGTTTGTTAAAATACCCCAACATATAACCCAACTATAGGTTATTATAGCACCTTCCCAACTATGGGTTATTTTGATTAAATGTTATTTTTTCCATTGTGGTATTACTAATACTACACATTAAAAACGTTGAGTTATTTATTTAACCCAATGGTTAAGTTAAACATATTTGGTGCTGTGTTGGGTTATTTTTACCCTTTATTTGGTTATTTATTAATAACTC